ATTATAATATGTAAAAATATCAAATTAATATATTGTACACCTTAAATTTATAGTTACATGTTAAATATATTTTGATATAAAAAAGAAGTACCATATTTTGCAATGTGTAATGCACACCCACATTTTTGGCCCAGACTTTCAGAAAAAAATCTTTTATTTAAATATTTTAATTCAATTTTTACTTATTTATATTTAGAAACAAAACATTATTGTATTCCAAAGTATTACTTTTCATACAGATATTGTTATTACTTTTTAGAATTACACTTTTAACATATAAGCATAAAAGAATTAAAAACATTTATGTAACTACAGAATTATTGCTACCCATGTATAATGTGCATACTTATTTTTCTTTAAAAACTTGGGCAAGAAAAGTGTGTATTATACAAGGCAAAATATGGTAATAATCACTGAATTAACCATGGGCACCAAAGGAACAATACAAATGAGAGAACACTACAAATTGGCACATAAACAATCCTTTTTCTGGAAATTAATGTTACTAAATTAAATTAATATGCTAAAGTGCCCTGGCTGGTGTGGCTCAGTGGATTGAGTGTGGGCCTGTGAACCAAAGGGTCAAGGTTCGATTCCCAGTCAGGGCATATGCCTGGGTTGCAGGCCAGGTCCCCAGCAGGGGGCATGTGAGAGGCAACCACACATTGATGTTTCTCTCCCTCTCTCTCCTTTCCTTCCCCCCTCTCTAAAACTAAATAAAATCTTAAAAATTAATATGCTAAAGAATAATTCAATAAGACAACTAATTTATAAACATTCTATTTAAGAAGTATAGTGAAATAATTGCTAATTCTGCAATGCACCTAGGTGGGTAATGCTTACTTTTTAGCAAGGACACAGAGGCCCAGAGATGCCCCGTCATTTTACTAAAGCCACCCTGACTGCCCCTAATAGAATTGGGCCTTGAACACTTGCTGCTTACAGTATATTGATTCTTTCCCATGATACGTAAAAAAAGAAAAAAGATCTTATAAAAACCCCAAATATCATACAATATCACTTATATGTAGAATTTAATGAACAAAATAAACTGACAAACAAAATAGAAACAGAGGTATGGGTACATGGCACAGACTGACAGCTGTTAGAAAGGAGGGAGGAGGAGGGACTAGAGGTGAAGGGAATAGCTAAAGAACATACATGCATGACACATGGACACAGACAACAGTGTGGTGATGGCCAGAGGGAAGGGGAAGGCAATGCCTGGGCAGAGGTGGGCAATGGTGGGGGGAAATGGGGACATGTATAATACTGTCAACAATAACAATCAAGTTTTTAAAAAGTCCTGCATTAGTAATTGTATCAAACAAAAATCATATATGGAAAAATTTTATGTGCTCAACAAATAAGCTTTTGTTGGAGATAATAATAAAAATGTTAGTTCCATTTATTGAGCATTATATGCTAGGTATTGGTTTAAGAATTTTCCGTACAATATGCCTTCAATCATCCAAGCAAACCTATGATATGAAAATCAACATTTTACAGAAAAGAAAACTGGAGCTTGTAGAGGATTTTCCAGACCTGACAATTTCCAAAGACTGTGCTCTTAACCTGTAAGCTATAGGCAGTTGGTAACTGGGAAGGAAAAGTCCTAGAAACCTGGGCCATGGAGGTCAGCTCTAAGACAGGGGTGCTTACATCCCAGTACAGTTTGCAAACAGTACTTAGCTCTAGGGGGTCAGCACGGTGGTGCCAAAGGGCAGCATCCAGTTACAGCTGTGTTGAAGACAAGAGGAGGGAACCTGTGCTTTATTTAATTTATATTATAGCCAACCTGGTTATAGTGTACTGGTCAAAACCCAAGGACAGAAGAATAATTTTAAGGAGTAAGATAAATAACATTCTCTAAACAAGATGTATTGATTGATAGCAATGGTCACTGAGACACTCAATGACATGTTTTAAGGAATAAGACAAACAACATTCCCTAAACAAGATATATCGATTATTAGCAAAGGTCACTGATATACTCAATTATAAGTTCCTTTAGAATGGTTGGAATTGATTAAATATATACACAGGAACAAATGACTTTCCTTTTTAATATAAACTCTAGGTACACAAATAAAAATAACCTGGAAGATATTCATTGATAAAATTGGATGGGATGGATTGTGAAGGACCAACAATGATGATGCTAAATGTATGAGGCCTGTCCAGGAAGTATCCAGCCACATGCTATGAAAAATAAAGACACTTATTGAAGAAGACACAAGGTACAAGAAACATTGTGCATAAGACAATGACATCTCAGTCCTCTTCAAGTAGGCACCTTGGGACCTCACACAGTTCTTCTAATTGCCATCAGCTGCCCTGTCATATTTTCTTGAATCTTGTCAATCTTTTCTGAAATCTCTTCCCTTTCAAAGGTGATTTTAGTTTTGAGAAAAGCCAAAAGTCACAAGGTACTGAATGTAAGCTGTAGGGGAGCTGAGTGACTTGGGTGATTTGATGTTTTGACAAAAAACTCTGCACGAGTCTTGATGCATGAGCAGTGCATGGTTGTGATGAGGCTGCTAATCACCAGTTACCCATAGCTGCAATCTTCTGAATCATTGAAATAGTTTCCTCAGAAAAATCTTCAAGCTTAATGAAAAATTTGATGCAGATCCCTTGTTCTACTTAGTCATTTTGAATGCAATGGCCACATAGTGCACATGCTCACTCAGTAGACTGTGTCTACCGCCCCCACTGACTAGTACAGTGAGGTCATCATTGTTCATGCATGTACATTCCAGTCCACTCTCCTTGGCTGCCAGGTTATGCTGATGTCATGCAAACCATTATTGTTCTGTTAACAATGGCTGTGCTTTTTCTGGACTGACCTCATAAATACAGAAAAAGACAAATTGATATCGTGGGAGGTGAAGGAACAAAGCTAGTTTCAAACAACAATTTTTAAAGATTAAAGTCAATATATCAGTTCAATATGTATGTGGCATTTTGTAATCCTAAAGGGCTACATATTTTTATCTTTGTCTTAATGATAGGCAAGCTAACATTTGACATGCAAAATACCTGTGTAGCATGGTGCATGTAATGATCATTTAGTCGTAACTATAGATATTCAATCAGAGAAAATCTAGTAAATGCTAATAATACATCAAAAATATAGTTCCCTTTTTTAAAATATTTTATTTATTTATTTTTTAGAGAGGGAAGGGAGGGAGAGAGAGAGAGAGAGAGAGAGAGAGAGAGAGAAACATCAATGTGCGGTTGCTGGGGGTTATGGCCTGCAACCCAGGAATGTACCCTGGCTGGGAATCGAACCTGGGACACTTTGGTTCACAGCCCGCGCTCAATCCACTGAGCTACACCAGCCAGGGCTATAGTTCCCTTTTTTATACTTTTCTATCCATTTCTCTCATAGGACTACCTCTCAGAAAATGCAATTGTGATGTCATAGCTTACTAGTGTTAGAGACAGGCTTGTGCAGACACAAGAAAAGAAGTGCATAAAATGGAAGGAAATTAACATTTACTATATACCAGGAAACTTACATATATGACTCATTTTATCTCAGTGAAGAAAAATAATATTCCAATTTGTAGATATAAAAACTTATGGACAGAAAAATAATTTTCCAATACACATTGGTACATAAATTTAATCTGTGCTCACCATACCATGAATCCCAAGCTCTTAATATTCCACGCTGTTAACTGGAGAGTAGGATAGGCTCTGGGTGCTTCTGGGTCTAGTGTAGCCCATGACACACGTCCTCCCATAGAAAAATGGTTGCATAGGCAGCGAGTCCAAGGTGATTTTATTCTATTGGCTGATTTAGCTTATTGCGAGCTCCCATATCAAATATAATGGGGTAAAATACATTTTAGGGATTAAATGGAGACTTGGCAGCCAAATAGTTCAAGATTTTTCAAAAAAAAATTTGTGGTAATATCTATATGGAGTTCTAAATAATGTTTAAAGTAATATTCAATTATTTAACTTATAATTAGCTATAATTAAATTGTGTTCCTATCATATCATAGGTACTTATCTGCTTTAGTGCATTTTTGCTATGTAACTCAATAGAGCTAGTATAAGCCTGAAATGAACAGAAATTATTAAATTATACACTGCATTGTGCAATGTATATGCTAACATGAGCACCCGGAAATGCCTGACAGTGCTGTGTATGTGCTGTGATTTATTATTTTTGTGATTAATTAATTTGTGATTTATTAATTTATACTCCATTTGTAAAAATGTAATATTTAAAATCATTACACTTTAAAGGTAGAGAGAACCTGAAATCATTAGTCCACCCCCCTTCATTTTTGAGATATGGCAACAAACCTGCAATGATTAAATAAAGCCTTTTATAGATGAACAGAATTAACCTATAATAATTTAGTATGCAATGTAGCTCAGTGGTATGTTAAATTCCATACAACCAGAGAACAACTTTTAATATCAAGAGAACTTAAAACTTAGAAATATCAATTGTTATGAGGTTTTTTGTCAGTATGTTTTGAAGGGCATTATCACCTTACATTTACAAAGATAAATTAGATATTCTCCAAAACAATGAGGTCCAACAGAATACTAATGAATATTTTAGATCTCTGTAAGGAAATACTGTATTCTCTCATCATGAAAATCTGGGTTCATGAAAATGATAAGCTTAGCTTTACTTATACAGAAGTAATCTTGGAAGCTTTAATGTTGTAATGAGAGTGATTAAGAATTATCAAAATATCGATTGGCAAAAATGTGGATAAACTATAACAGTATATGAGCTCCAAGGAATACAGGTTTGAAATAAATGTTTGAGAATCACAAGATGCTGCCAAAACTTCCGTCAGACAGCTGGCAGTGAAATCCGAGCCCACTGGTGTGACAAACCCCGCTTCAGACCTGTTGACTTAGATTTACTTGCACAAACAGTATTTGCTAAAGACAGGAAATAGGTGTAATATATTTAGATACCTCTCTAACCTTCTCTTTCCACTTTCCTTCCTCCTACAGATAAAGCCAATACGTTTCCTTGCTCAGAGAACCAACAGTAAGTGATAGTTCTTTATTTTAAGGTGAATATTGTATTATGCCAATATATTTATGCCTTGCCAATGGTAAAATGATAGAGGGTAAATTAATCTGTGATTTTCAAAACTCTGTTGATAACTTTTATTGAGAATAATGACTTTGTTATTATCTTCTTTTTAATCTAAGAAAGTAATATATAGCTTTAATATCCCCAAAACACCTAATCAAATTTAACATCTAAATGAATTTTTTACCTTTTACTCTAAAATAAGCAATATAATTAACTCCCATGTCTATGACTTTTAGAAACAATTAGAGTAAAATTTCCTTTAATAGGAAAATTAAAAAGATGGTTATATGTGTGTGCATACTTCCAAATATTAATAACTTTACTAGTATTCACATATATAATTTGTGTTAATATAGACATTATTAAAATGAGGATGGGAAGCTATTGTTAATAGTTTTAAACCCATCAAAACCAACATATAGTACTGACCTTGAGATAAAAAATATTCTATTAAAGATTATCAGTATGAGATACAATTTCCCTCATGAAATGTACTCAACTAAAAAAAAAAAGGGACTTTTAAAAGTGTTCTAATGCAAGGTCAATCTACTTAGGCAGCTAACTTTGTATAAATAATTTAAGGATAGTATCTGTTTTATATATTTTATATCAGGAAGCAATTTCCAGACAGAGTTTTTCCTAATAATAAGTGATTCTGGATAAACAGATAGTAAAAGACCACAGAGCTACCTAAGGACAATCTGTAAGGAGTTATTTACTTCATAGAGAAAAGATTTTACTTTCAAAATATTTTATTAATGCTTTTCCCCTCTGTGGCTGAATGCTAGGCAGGGAGCTTGGGGATGATTTACACTGTTGCCAGAGAAGTTCTGGAGTTGCCTCTTTTGCTAGTTAAAACTAAATACCGTATGATCTTACCTTTAACAGGAACCCAAACAACAAAACAAACACACAAGCAAAATATAACCAAAAACACTGAAATAGAGAATGGGTTGACAGGGACCAGAGGGGAGAGGGGAGGGAATTTCAGGGGAAAAGGGGAAGGGTTTACAGGAACAAGTATAAAGGACACATGGACAAAAACTAGGGTGGGGGTGGAAATGGGAGGGAGGTGGGGAGGACTTGGGGGTGAGCAGGGATGGGAGTAAAAGACAAAACTGTACTGAAACAACAATTAAAATCAAATCAAATCAAATCAAATAAATAAATAAATAAATAAACAAACAAACCAAAACCAACATCTGCCTGGATGACTAACTCTCTGGAGGAGAATCAGAGGAAATTAAACTGATGACATGTTTCAAGACCGGAGTTACATCTAATGACATGTTGTGAGGTCACTTGGGGCCACTGATCTGAGCTCAGATTTGATGAAGAAGCAAATCCGGAGGAATAGTGTCAGAACTCCCAAGCAGAATATAAATCCCATACTGCTAAGAATTCCAGTGATGTTTGGTAAATTCAAGCAAAGAGAAGATAATTCATCCTTGAAAAGGGAAATATAAATTACTTTTCAGGAACTGTCAAGGCAGTTATTATCACTTAGAAATGTTTATGGATTTTCTACACAATAAAATCTAGAAATTTCGTGAACTTCGTATAGTTTTGGCCTGCTTTCTATCCCACTGAGAAGTGGTGAAATGAAAGAAAGATATCAGAACGAAGATTAAATATTTCACTGAGAGTTTGAAAATGTTGTTTCAAATACTTTCCTGTACTGTGAGTTGTATATAAATGTAGACACCTGCAATGCACACATCACACATACACATCACACACACACGTTAATGCTTTTAATGGCCTGCTATCTGGTCTGTGTTGTTTAAACCATCTCCATCCCCTCCTGCCAAACTGTCTGGATTTATCCCTCAGTTTTCCTGTTTGCAAGTTTATGGTATTGAATTATTAAATCTCTGATCCAGGTACTGCCTATCTGTAAACTTGGGTATTGAGTAACAGCAGCTAATGCCTAGATTGTTATGAGTTTTGAATGAGCCCAAACAGAATGCCATTGTTACGTGTGACTCACTGAGGGTGAAGCAGATGGCCCTGAAAAGTGGTATGTAAACTTTTATCTATTTATAAATTGAATCCCTCTACATTCACCTTTATAGTTGATGCTTAAGAAGGATTTGATTTTATTTTTCTTCATATAGTGAGCTAATTTTTCTAACACTGTATGCAAGATAACCTGCTCTTCCTCTTAAATGAATTTTTATACCACCTTTTTGGTCTGTCTCTTCAATTTTCTGTTCACCTCCCTTAGTCCATTTGTCTGTTCCTACAATAATACCAAATTTTTGTCAACATAAGTTTAAAGTCTATCTTAATAACTAAATATAAAAAGATACCCAAATTAATTCTTCTTATAAATGGTTTACTTAATTATTCATATGCCTATCAGAAGTTTTATTGGAATTTTAAGAATATCATATTAATTTAATTCAAATTGACATTTAAAACATTTTTTAAAGATTTTATCTATCCATTCTTAGAGAGAGAGAGGAAGGGAGGATGACAGGGAGAGAAACATCAATGTGTGGTTGCCTTTCATGTGCCCCCTAATAGGGGTCTAGCATGCAACCCAGGCATGTACCCTGACTAGGAATCAAACCAGTGACCCTTTGGTTTTCAGGCCTGTGCTCAATTCACTGAGCTATACCAGCCAGAGCCAAATTGACATCTTTATTAACACATACAATTTAAGAGCATGGAAATATCTCAATTTATGCAAATCTTTTTTTTTAAGTTTTTTTCCTCACCCAAAGATATCCTTTCATTGCTTTTAGAGAGGGAGGAGGGAGAGAGAGAAAAATTGATGTGAGAGAGAAACATCAATCAGTCACCTCACATTTGCACCTAGAATCAGGATCATACAGGACCCAGTATCATACATGCCCACACCAGGGACTGAACTTGCAACCCAGGCATGCACCCTGACTGGGAATTGAACCTGAAACCCTGAGGTTATGGGACAGTGATCCAACCAAGTAAGCCACACTGGCCAGGGGAGCTTATGCAGGCCTTTTAGGTCTTTTACTAGGGTTTTAAAGTTATCTCCAGGGAGGATTTTTTTTATTCTTGATTGTTTCATAGATGCTTTATAGTTTTTGTTACTACTATGGGTAGGATCTTTCTTTAAATCTTATTTTCTAGTTGAGTGTGGCTGGTGTATGGTGATAGTATTTTTTGAAAGGTGATATTGCATCTGGCAAACTCTTTGATTATGGTGTATTCTCTAGATAGATGACCATATCACTTGAAAATAATAAAGTATTATCTCTTCCCTTACAAGACCAATGAATATATTTTTTCTTTGTTACAGCTTTGATCAGGAACTCTCCACTTTGATGTTGATCAATGGCAGTGATATCAATAATTTTTTCTTGTTCCCAATATTAAATGTAATGCACCTAGTTTCTCGAGTAACTACAATATTTGTTGTAGATATTTAATATAATGCCATTACCAAATTAATGATCTCCTCTATTTCCCTGTGTTCTTTTTTTAGCTATGACTAGGGATTGAATTTAGTAAAATATTTTTGCCACATGATCTTTTTAGTCTATTCATGTGATAAATAGACCAATGAACTTTTTCATTTTGCAATAATCTTTCAGTACTGATACAAACTTTCCTTGATCATGACATTTTAATTTTATTTTTGAAATTGGTCTGTTAATATTTTGTGAGGATTTTTGCATGCCATTTGTGAAATGAGCCTATATATTATGTACTATTATTCTCATCTGTTTGGTGAACCAATGCCAGAATCATTTCCATTCACTGCCACTCCTCAGGTTACGTTTTGAGGGGAAACAGGATTGGGAAGAAGTAGTCACACTATTTTATACTCACATAACCCTAGGCGGTAGCAATGTAGGTTAGTCCACATTTCATTATTTTCATTAGTTCTTGACACTTGCTGGAGATTTTTATGCTTTCATGATGATATCCTGCAGAGAATTTCACAATGAGGAGGAAACAGTGATTGTTACGAGGTGAAAGCAAGATTGTTACTGAAACTACATGATCATGTCAGTCACTGTCCCAGGATGCAACACCTTCTTCCACTTCATACTCAAAACATACATACATCTCCCCATACATACACACTAGAGGTCCTGAGTAACTTAATTCTCCCCTGCTTTTCTCACTGTCTTTTTGATACTTTCTTGGAAGTTATGCTTTCCTTTCGTTTCTCTCATTCCTTTGGAGTTCATGTTAGGGTGATAACCAGAAGCCTGCATGTATTGACATCCTGACTGCAATTGAAGGCTAAAAGCTCACATTTTAAATTAACCATTTTGTGAATTCTCCTCTTAAGAACTAAGCAAATTCTTCCTAGTTTATCATTTCAATTTCCTTATATGCACAAAATGGACTTTTAAGGCAAGGTATGCTGGTATACTGTTTGTAAATACATAGTTTTTAATCAGTTAATAAACAGTGATAGGTCATTATTTTCTTTTTCATGTGAGTCTTTCCAATATTGTGGTGGTCCTATCATCGGTGTGACGAAGGAACGGTATATTGCAATTTAATTGTATCTTTTACATTTATGCTTCAGAAAGACACAGCTTGCTTTCTGCTGTCTGTAATTGGGTAGTAATAAACCATCAACACTTGGAACTGTACATCTTTGAATCTTTGAATCTGGCTTTTCTCTAATCACATTTATGAGAAATTACTAATCTCTTTCAAAAAGGAAAATTACAAATGGCAGAGTGGAAAACTGTATAAAAGGAGAGACTTGGTGACAGCGTGTGGCAAAGTAAGTCTTTTAAGGGAAATGATTTTAAAAGAATCTAAAGTTTGTCTGTAAGTAATAAGCAGAGGAAATGTGTAACCACACACATTTGGAATTCGTCTATATGCAAGTAGATGAGAGGAGGAAGCAGTTATTAACCTAATGTTTTCTAATGCTTTCTGTGGGACTGGACTCAATGAAAGAAAAACAAACAGTATTATGTCAGTACCAGGCAAAGGAGGGTGTTGGAGCTAAATGCTTTGGTCTTCTAGCTGGTGCTAGACCTTAATCATATTTACCATACCTCTAATACTTCCTGAGACGTGTGTTATGTAGATATCCCCCATCCTTTTTCAAAAGCATCACAATTGGTCAGGGCAAAAGAAAAAAAACTTTAGCTTCCACTTTTGCACATATGGGAAAGGCCAAATACTTCCCACTCTAGGTACTTGAATGATGGGCTCCCATAATGGTGTGCTAAGACTCTGAGGATGGACAGGAATCATATCTTGTTCAGTTGATTATGTTCAGCAATATCTTGAACACTATTCCAGACATATTGTGTAAAATTTGATGAATGTCTGTCACAGAAAAGAACAATATCTGATTGTCATTAACTTGAAAAAAAGAAAAAAATCTATTTTCCTCTGTTGCTTTCCAATTCCACAGGAGGCCCCACTAGAGAGATGGGCATGCACAAGGACATCAGTCTAACAGAGTCCTCTGGGGACTCTGAAAGCTTCTGCAGCTCCCACCATGGAGCAAACACTGTTTAGCCAAAAGGCATTTAAAAGAAAATGATGATGGTATTCTGCCTTTTCTAGATACTCAGTCTCGCTATGGGAAAACATCTAATGTGTATGAAGAAATTGAGATAAATTAGATCCTGAACATAATCAGAAAAAAAGTTTACTGGCTGGGCTTTTTTTTTTTTAAGACTTTCATTTATTTTTAGAGAGTGCGGAGGGAGGGGTAAAGAGGGGGAGAGAAACATGGATTGGTTGCTTCTCATAGCAGCAACCCGGGAATGCGCCCTGACGGGGAATCGAACCAATGACCCTTTGCTTTGTGGGATGACACCCGACCAACTGAGCCACACCAGTCAGGACTGGGTGGGTTTTAAATGCTCCACAGAGATAACTTCTGTGTGTTTTGAGTTAGTCTGTGAGTTTCTTTGTAGAGAGAGACTTTGAAATGTTCTTGAAGGAAGTGGCTAGAATCCAGGTTTGAGGATTAACATTATCAAAGGCATAAAAGGCATATGATCAGAGGAAAGGATAATGAAAGTAAAAATAGGGAACCTATCCTGATTAAAGTAGTGGAATAAAGATTATCTAATAAATGATGTCACAGGTTGGGTTCCTTAGGTAATGTTCAGAAATATAAGACACAAGAAGTTCATTAAGGAATCCACTTGGGATTAATTCCCTAGGAGAGGAGTGGAAGGAAGTGAGATTGGACAAAGGGAAGAAATCAAGCTGTGATGTAGTCTCATTATAGGTTTCAGTCAATCAACTGCTTCAGAGTGGTTCTTAAGCTGAGATGATGTTTCAGTGCTGTCTGTAGTAGGAGTGAAGAGGTAAGGCCTTTATGCCCCATGTCAGGCAGACAGGGGATGAGGACGCCCTGAGAAGAGAGCATGATGTTGGACCACATGGCTGTCTTCAGCAGACGCTGTCCCTGAGATTTATGCTGGCAACACTCCCAGCTAAGGGAACAAGCATCCCAAATGACAATAAAAATATTAATGTTAATGTTAGGACTTGTATGTACATGGTGATTTTTTTTAATGCTTTCAAATTCTTTAACATTATTTATATTTTTAAACCTCACAAAAACCTTGTGAGGTGACCCTATCTATGTCCCTGTATTTTAATTTGACAAATGAAGATTGTCAATTTCATATGCTTAAAGATGAGCCAGGTAAAAGAGCACCATTGACACCATAACAACAGCCCAGGCTTCTTAACACTTGTTTTGTTCTCTTCATCACGATACAGTAGCCAAAGTTTGGGTTTGCTTAATAGGGAACCAGGCATCTCTGAGAAATAAAACGGCTCTTTTTAGCATTCAATTTATGTTTGCTATACAGAAATAAGTTCATTGTTCTTTCCATGCTTTACTTTTTTGTCTTCAAATTTTCATTTTTCTTCCCCTCTTCCTCTGTTCTACCTAAAAAGCTACAATATACACAAAAATCAAACTTTCTCCATTGCCATGAGTGAAATTTTAATTGTATAGAAAAGCTTTAATCTAAAAAACACTATAGAAACACTTATATAATTTGTATTCATTATAGAACCCCAATAGGAATGTGTTATCAATTTTGTGATTTCTGTTTCAACACTTTCCCTTCCCTTCCTAGTTAATTCAATGGACATAATCACTTTATTAAAATGCCTACAATGTCTTTCGATAGTTCAAGAAGGTAACATGAATAAAAATTATCAAAATGGGTTATGCTTTCAATTCAAAATAAACATCCTAGGAAAATATTTTTTGAGCTCTCAAAGTCTTAGGAGTTTTATTTGTAGCTAAGGTAAAGATTTGACTTAATTATTAGTATTTTTTATTTTTTTCTAATTTTCTCAAACATTTTGAGCAATCTACCAGGTATTTATCAGCTGCCAAAAGATTTATAGTAATGTATGACTATTTTTTCAAGGCAAAAATATTCACTTTTTGAACCCTCACACCCCCAATTTACTACAATTAAGTGGGGGATGAATACTGAAGTTAAAGAAATCTTGGGTTCTGTCTCAGCTACACACCAACTAGCAATGAGGCTGTCAGGAAGTCACTTAACACCTCCAGGGCTCTGCTCTTTTCTCCTTGAGCATCACGATGCCCAACCTTTTAGCTACACCAGGCTGTCGTGAAGTAACTAAGACAATTGGTTTGACAAAGTCAGAGGCATTCTTCCAAAAGTTAACAATCACTTTGGAATAAAGATCTTTCCTTTTTGTAATTACTATAATGTAGACTCAATATAGGAAATGAAAAAAGAAAGAATGTCTTATTTATCACACAAAGATAAACTCATTCTCTTGTATTTCTATTTAATCTTGCTTGATCTTTGCCTGGCTTTTTGTCTGAGTATTAGTTTTCCAGGAGAAGGGGATAAGGTCCTATTTCTGCTACTGTCTTTCAGAAGAATCATAATATACTGATTTCCAGATCTCCCTACACATCTAGATCATCAATACCTATATGGAATAATTTTTTTCTGTTACCTTATCTTAAAATTGGCCCCAAGTCCCTATGCCATAGAGGTGTTGTCATATACCCATGAGGGAAGCACAGCTGCCTTGAGATATGGATGCTGAGTGGTATCCAGAGGTACCCTCCCATCTCAGTGCCTTGCTCACACAAGCACACTGGAATGCAGACCTGTTTCTCCAGGAGATTTCAAATTGCTACATTCTATGGACCTTGTAACACTCTTAAAAAGTAACATATCCCTCAGATGATAAATTTGAGAATGTATATGAGTCTGCCTGGGTTGCCATGACAAATTACCACGGACTGGGTGGCTTGAACAACAAATATTTATTTTCTCACAGGTCTAGAGGGTAGAAGTCTGAGACCAAGTTGCTAGAATGGTCACTTTCTGCTGAGATTTCTCTTCTCACAGCATTCTCACGTGGACTCTACTCTGTGTGTGCTGAGGAGAGAGACAGACAGACAGACATTGACAGAGAGAGGCAGCACAGGTGAAAATGCATTCCCTGGTGTCTCCAATCCTATCAGATCAGGGCTCATCTTTACATGCTCATTTAACCTTAAGTATCTTTTAAGGGCCAAAACACATATAGCCTCACAGGAGGTTAGAACTTCAATCTATTGATTTTGGGAGGGCACAAACTTTTATTTATAACAGGAGACTAAGGATCTCCCATATGCTATTTGGTGTTTTTTTTTCTTAATTTTGAAGCATACACATTTTCTTCTTATAAAACCATCATAAACATAACTTTATGTCTAATATATGCTAATAAGAGAATGTACTCTAATTTATTTAGACATTTTATCTCCCTGTTTTTGAACATATCATTGTTTTACCCTTAAAAATATGAAAGTGCTAAAAAATGATGACTAAAGTTTTCCTAGTATATATTATTTTTTCAGGATTCTAAAAAGTTGAGTAAGTGAAGCAAAAATTGTGAGCATATGAAGGATATTAATACAGATTGGGTTGGTAAGCTCTTAAAAGTGGTTTTCTGGCTTTAGATCCAAAAGGAAAGTATTACCTTTTTTGGAATTTGAGGCAACATAATTAAAAAAAAATGGTTGGAGTGGAAATGAATGACACATGGACAGAGCTATGGAGAGTGGTTGAAAGGTTTTTGTTTTTGTTTCTTTACATCACTACTTCTTAGCGAATTTACCTAGGGTTCTAGGAATTACTAGTATATGAGGCAGAAGAAATGGCTCACACTAACTGGTAGATTGAAGAAATGTTAATGAGGGGATATTTATAAAGATAAGCAGTGTTAAGAAAGCCAGCAAGGACTAATTCAGTAGTATCCCCATAATCAAAACGGTTGAGAGCTATTTTTACTCCTAAATGGACAATGTGAAGAAACCATTTCCCTAACTCGAAAAAGTTGCTGTGTAGACAAAACTGGAAATACGGTGGTATTGGGTGGTGTACCTTAAATATTTACAGGTGTACTACTTCAAGAGCTTCAGCTTAGTATATCTGTTTGTTCTTTATCATCCCCATTAGAAAAGCTTGAGTCTGGGCCTGAATCCATTAGAATTCCAGTGGCACCCTGTGACAAATCTACTCTTGTTATGTTACTAATGAATTTGAGATAACTGATGTTGCATTGTTTCTTTTTTCTCCTCCTGTGTTCTTCAGAAGTTCTTGCACTAAAATACCAATGTAAGTCTTTGTTTTGTTTCCTCAGCGATGACACTATTCCCAGTGTTGCTGTTTCTGGCTGCTGTGTTGTTTCCGTTCTTCCCTGCAAATGGACAGGTATGATCGAGGTTGAAAATATTTTCAGAACAATGCAACCAACCTTGAAGGACAGCACGCTACTAGATCAATGTTCAAAAGTAAAAAGAGCTAAAGTATCTAGTGTATCACTAAGTATGGTAGTACCTAAGCACATGAAGGTATTGAACCCTGAAATATGGATAGTCAGAATTGAGATATGCGTAAACATAATGCATAGCAGACTTCAAAGACTTAGTTTAAAAAAGGAGGTAAAATTTCTCATTAATAATTTAATATGGATTGCATGATGGAAGCTATAGTTTAATATTCTTTAAATATTGTATATATTCAAATCTATAATATATATAAATTTAAGTATATAATATAGTCACATGTATTTAAATACACAATATATTTTTGTAACTATATGCATATATACATGTATTATACATTTAAGTATATGTTTGTGTATACATATAAATATATTTATATAAACATAAATGCATTTATAAATTTATTTATCTAAATATAAATATATTTATAAATATTATATTTAGATATAATTTATATATTTATAAATATTATATTTAGATAAATATATATTTAAAATATATTATAAATATAATTTAATCTGTTTATCTTTTTATAAGTGGTCACCAAAAAATAAAAATGACATGTGGCGCTTTAATTGTTTTTCTGGTGACACCACTGGTCTATGGGTTTAAAAGCTAACAAAACTCCTCCTATACCAAGATCTTGTCTACTTTGGTGTTATTTAATCCATTTCTATGTGACCCCCACTGAAAATTAACAATTTGTTTATCTAATCCCTAATTAAGAAAGGTTCTTCACATACATCACCACATTTAATTTTTATAGTTACTGTGTGAGAATAGTTATACTTTTTTATTTAAAAAGAGAAAATTTACTAGGGATATTAAGCATTCAGATATTTTCATAAGTTTTACAATTAATTTGTGTAAGATAAGATGCTCTAATTATTTCTAGTATGCTGCTTCAGTTTAATAATCCCAAGAGCAGCATCGGTGTTTCTCTTCCACTGGTGTGTAGGCTTTTCTGGTCAGAAAACCTCTGAACTCGAGGAGTTCTGGTCCTTGCTCTCTGTTCCCACACCCTTCCTTGGCTCTGGGTGCACAAGATTAGCTAAGAACTCTCAGACCAGAGAATTCTGACACTAGGTCAAACCTCATTTGGCATTCAGAATTGAAGTCATTGTTAATCAAATTTTTCAATATGAAGACAATATATTCATCACTAAGAGCTTCATTTAAGTAGTTCTGTCTTCCCAATTTCATTCCTAAAGAGTTCCTTTCAAGGCCATTTTTGATTCCCTGTTATCTTTCTCATCCACCTCCTGATTTTCATTTATAAAATTATTAAAAATGGAGATATAGTTAGATCTTTCGCATAACTCAGTGTTTGCTGATGCTCTACATTCCCTGTGCCTGGTGTGGTTTTTTGGGCCCTCTCAATTTGCCCTATTCTGTGCCCTAGAAAACACCACTAAGCTCTCGAACCTCCACTTCACTTTTTTGTGAAGTGTGGGGGGCTCTGCCCACAGCACCCGTCCACAACTGATGAGAATAAGTCTACCAAGACATGATATGCTTGGGGAGGAAAGGTAGCCAATCTCTCAAAGGAGAAGGGCTTTGAGCCTGTTCCTCAATGGGCTTTTATTGGGTTCAGTTTGCCCAGGAATACAGGTAAAGCTCATCAATCGCTGTCAGGCAGTAATGATCAAACAATAAATAACATTCAAAGAACTATGAGGGCTTATTCTGAGTGAGGGTCAGTTAACTAAATGGATATAAAACTTTGGGAAACAAACTCATTTCCTGAACAGAACATTATCAGAAAATTGAGAACATTCTGAGCAAAGCAGTTTTCACAGGAATTTAGGCATTTTTTTTCTCAGTACTGATTGACCTGGGGAATCCACCCTTTCCTGCACAGAGCTCCAGCATTTTTTCAGGCTTAAATTGGGCAGGGGAAGTAAGGCAGCCAAGAGATTAGGAGATTTCTTACAGACAGAATAAGGACTCAGGCTATGTCAAAGCTGAGGGGCAAGGGTCCATCATCCCCTTTTTCTATAGCCTCCCAAGTCCTTCCCTGAGGGCTCCTTTGTGACAGTGACTGTCTTAGGTTGTCCTTCCCTTGAGGAATCTTGCCTGTCATTGGCTAACCAATCATCTGCCCGGGGCCAAACAGGGTCAAGTAAAAGGGGGCAGAGGTGGTGCCCCTGAAAGGGAGATAAGCTTTGTCTCCTTAGTGTCCCAAGGTCTCTTACTCAGCCTTAGCCGTGGAGGGTTAAAGCTTTTGAAACCAGGCAGGGCAGTTTCCAAAAGTGAAGCCTTGCCTGAACCCAATAAAGAACTGATCCCTTCTTTTTCAACATCTAGTAGAACCTGCTGATTATTTTATTTGTCATGTGGTATTATACTCATTTATACCATATTGTCTTTCCAGTACAAATTCTTTAAGTATAGACAGATACCATATTTTATTCATCTATTTTCTTCTGAATACTTTTCATATTTCTCATCACATAACAAACGCTTCTTTAATGTTTATTTAAAAAGAAACAAAGATATGTCTGTCTTCATCAGTAGAATTTTTACCTGCAAAAGAAGTTGGTATAAGAAGCAAAAAACGCCCTGGTTGGTGTAGCTCAGTGGATTGAGCATGAACCAAAGTGTCGCAGGTTCAATTCCCAAAGTGAACCAAAGTGTCAAAGGTTCAATTCCCAGTCAGGGTACATGCCCGGGTTGCTGGCCATGACCCCCAGCAGCCGCACATTGATGTTTCTCTATCTCTCTCTCTATCTCCCTCCCTTCCCTCACTAAAAATAAATAAATAAAATCTTTAAAAAAAAGAAGCAAAAAACAATTACTTCTCTTTTCTCAAGGGACAAATTTTGATATGCTTTGAAATGAAACTATTTTAACAAAGTTTTTGAGGACAAATAGGACATACAAGAGATGTTATTTTGTGCTGTGATCAGCCACTGCTAATATTTCACACGTGCACTTTTTCCATTTTAGGAATAAGTAGCTGGGAATGCTCCAAATCTGGGGATACACTGGTATACTTGTATTCATTCTTGGTCTCTGTCTTCAGGAACATACCAGCAGGTGGGAGAAATGGACACATAAGTAGATAGTGGTAATAGAATATGATCAGACCTATGTTCTCAGTATTTGGAGAAGTTTGCAAAAACTCAGTATTGTGGGAGGAGAGAAGAACTTATTTCAGAGGCCCTGTTTAGACTTTTAACTTCGAATCTTGCTCGTGTTCCTATAACATCACATTCTTGTGTCAATTTAGGTCATCAAATTTTGTCAGCCTTATAGAATAATCACACAGCTTACTCCACCTCTAGGCTTAGACACCCCCAACACCCCACAAAGATATACCAAAAATATAAGTATGTGATTTAATACTTTAATTATATTTCTATTACTAAAATTAATGGTCAGCAATAATCTGACCATTGGCTGACTTTTTTCCCTCTGCATTGCCTTGGAGATGTGTTTAATATTATAAAACTGCCTTTTGAATAATTCCATAAACTCTGCTAGATAATAGGTGGATTCATTTACTAAAATATAGAATGCAGTTGGACTGGGCCTACACATTTTTTCTTTAAATACTGATACCATGTCGGATCAAAGTTCCCCTTAAAGTCTAGATGAGCCACCTGTCTCTTCTCTTAGTACTCCTTTACTATAGCTTGATTGTGAATGAGAATGCCTTAAAGGTTCCCATCATAAAACACAGTCATTACATTATCACTCATGTGTCTAGAAAAATCACATTAAGACATGTTTTAATACTAGAAAGTGGCATTTGTGGCCTTGGAGATGTTTTTAATTGTCATAACATGAACTACATCCACACTCAAAATTTAACACTACTTCTTTCCTATTTAAAAAACTCATAGCTTTGGTTCAGATTCATTGGAAATGCATAACAATTAATATTGGTTTGAACAGAGCACTTTTTTCTTATCTTCACCTGAGGACATGCCTTTTGATTTTAGAGAAAGGGGAAAGGGGGGAGTGAGGCGGGGAGAGAAACCTCAATGGGAAAGAGAAACATTAATCCGCTGCCTCTCACACACCCCTACCAGGACCAAACCACAACCTATGCATGTGCCCTGACCAGGGATTGAACAGGCGACTTTGCACTTTATGGGACAACTTCCAACCAACTAAGGCACAGCAGCCAGGGCTAAATTGAATACCTTTTAAATAATCTTTGTTTTCTTGGATTAATTTATTCATTCAGTTGCAATTTTTAAAAGTTTTAAAAATAATTCTAATTTGATTTTCCTTTAGGATCCAAATTTTGATGATTTGTCAACCACCCAAAAAGAAGTCCAAAGTGAGATTGTAAATAAACACAATAACCTAAGGAGAGCAGTCACTCCACCTGCGAGCAACATGCTGAAGATGGTAAGAGGTGATAACAAAAGGAAAGTGGCTTGTGGAGCTGTGATAAGCACGGACTTCTAGTAAATAAGATTACGAAGACATTTGTGACAGGAAGTTCTATCTTTGTTATTTTATTAAAGCTTTGTTATTGACAATGCATAAATACCTTTTTTTCATTCCACATACTATTTTTGCTTATAAATTGTGTATCATCCTACTATTACATGTTCTGTTCACTAGAATAATACAATCTGGAAGAATTAATTTGCTACCATTTCCATTTCAGAGTTTCCCATCTTTTGAGTGAAATATCTCTTCCCAGAAAAAAATGCATATGTAGAATTTACTATATGTAATATGTAATAATCTATTTCTATGTTAATATATATATATAATTTGCATACACTTTTAGGGTACTTATAGAGTCATGCAGCTCATTCTAAAACCTTCCCCCAATGTTAGTGTGTGCCTTCTGACCTTGATAACTTGACTTTTAGACAGTTTTACCAGGCATTTTCTGTTCATTTTGATCTAAAACAATTTTCTAATAAGTTCTCTGACTACAGGCAGCTCTCTGTCCAGTCCCTCTTTGTACAGTGAGTTGACCTATGTATGATTACTGACATCATCCTTATTATTAATGTCCACCCCACCAAGGTTTCACCTTATACCCTCTATCTTTCCTCTAAGACATGTTTTTAGTTGGGGAAATTCAACTCTTGCTGATTTGAAGCTTGAAGGAACCCTCTTTACAGAAGAGTACACAACTATCTTACCACTGCAAAATTTTAAAAAAATGACCATGTGTATTCTGTGGTCCCCTAGCACAACCTTAGAAGAACCTATTCAAGTGAGAGATGCAAAATTTAAGCTTAATTAGCTCCATGGGACAAAGAAGAAATTCTTAATTGTGCTTTATAATGGTCAAATAACTTGTCCATTTTACAGAACTATTTAAGTTGTGGAGGCAGAATTAAAACCAAATCTTTTGACATCCAATAAGGGGCCATTATGTTTTTCTGATCACTATTGCTCTTAATTTAGAATCAGGAATGCCTTTTCAATGTAAGGATCAATGTAATTCAGGGTAAATAACAGACAATTCTGGGCCCATTACTAAAAGCCACATCTCCCAAATATATTCCATGGTGGGGGCAAGGGAAGGAACTAGGAATGAAGTAGGCCATTTTAGTATTTTAGGAGAAATAATCTCAATGGATCTACATGTTTATTGATATTTAGTTAAGAGCCACTGCTAAAAGTCTGTAGGTGTTCCTGTTGTGCTATCTTACATAGATTATTAACTATCTTAGGTTTTATAGTTCCTTAGGGTAGCCATACTATCTAATTTCTTTAAGAAACAGAAAAAGACACATCAAAAATATATTTGATTAGAAGGATATGCACGTACAGAAAAATTTAAAATGATATGAATCAACTACCCATCTCATTACAAAGTTTATGCCCCTTTGTGGTTTGAGTTATTATGTGCCTATCTTTTTCTCCCTCTTTCTTTTTAGACATGGGACAGCAAGGCAGCAGCAAATGCCCAAAGGTGGGCAAACAAGTGCACTTACAAACACAGTAGCATACAGAATCGAGGAATTGGTATGTACACTGATAAATTTTTATTGAGTAGATGAAAAAGTGAAATAATAAGGGGCCATTTTTTTTGATGTTGCATTACAAAACTTGGTGGATAAATGTTGCCTCAAATGCTACCTTTTCAAGTTAAAGTATCTCTGTGAGAGAAAACTCTTGAGAAGCACCACTCTGGGCTTATGCTTTTATCTTTTGCAAAAACGGTCTCACACAATATCACATTTGTACCTCTTAACCATCTGTTAACAGGAAAGAAAATCATTTTCCTGTTAACCACTGTTAGCAGGAAAATGATTGCTAAGAAGTGTCATATCTGGGAAATTTAGAATTAGAATTTCATACATCTAATCCAGTGTCATTTTCATATTATAGAGTCTGTGTTTTTAAAAAGTGTTTATTTTTAGATTTATAAAATATGTTGAATTTTGTCAAACTTACTGAATTTTACTCAAAATCATTTAGCATTAGCACCTTTTTAATCTTTGATGACAATAAGTCAAATCTTTTGTATGTTCTGGATTCCTCTTACAATGCATACAGTACTATATTAGACTCAAAGTAGTCTCAGAGACATGACCTCTACATCAAGGGACCTAAAAACAATTATATATCATATGTATGATCAAGTAAACAAAATATTTACTTAATTATTAAATGACAGATATGGAGAAGTACAATTAGAAAGTAGTAAATAACTTACCTGTTTTGAAAATAGAATTGCCATTGCTATTTGTATTTTTGATACAATAATTCAATGAAATTATGGAGAGGGTTGACTATATTCAGTAGAAGACTGAAACAAATGGTTTTGAAGATCCCAGTCTACTGTTAGCATCTCAGCTTCTTTCTTTCCCTCTTAGAAGAGCTATTTGAGAGTAGTTCACACTCTTTTTCAGTGGTATGTAGATATTACATTCCAAACCATCCAAACATAAGTATTAATTTCAAGGTTCGAAAAATACATTGAAATTTTTGTGGGCTGCAAAGCACTTTTATCCTAATTCTTTGAGGAGAAGTTGGCTTGTGACACTCTGATTTGCTGATGAAAGGGAGACCAATAAACTTTGAAAATATTGTTCCTCCTAGTGTCACCTGTTTCATGCTTAGGACTCTTAAAGACTAAATTTTTTTTTCAAAATGTACACAAAACAACCCTAAGCATTTATTAAAGTTGCTATAAGTGATAAGTTTCTGGTAAGTGTGGGTTAGGGTAGGAGACGTGTGCAGCTGAGAGCATGAGATCAACATTCATGAAGAATTTCCTATGTGACTGAATGTCTCTAGGGGAGTAGATGTTAAAGAAGGAGAACTTCATCTGTTCACAATCTGCACATTGAGACCAGCCTCAGTGTGTTGGGTACATATGGCTTCCATTCAGCTTACAGCTGATAAGGAACTCTTTATGCTTTAATCAGCAGTTAGCAACAACTATGGGAACTGTGTCTGAAAAGTAGTGAATCTAGATAGCACAGATAGATAGATACATACATACATGCATACATACATAGCATACATACATACATAGATTTCTCTATCTATCTATCTATCTATCTATCTATCTATCTATCTATCCATCCATCTATCTATCCAGGCATATATACCATTGCATACTTTTTTGCTTACCTCAGGAATGATCTTTTTCTTAGGTGAAATGAAATGTGGCGAGAATATCTTTATGTCAAGTAACCCTGCTTCATGGTCATATGTAATCCAAAGTTGGTTCGATGAGAAAGATGATTTTATCTATGGTGTAGGGCCAAAAGATCCCAATGCAGTGATTGGACATTATACCCAGGTAAGGGAAACAAGTGAAAAAAAGCTTCTGTAAATGCCCTGAAAAGAAAGCCTCTCAAAATTTTGACTGATTCCAATATTGAATCTGGGGGAAGATCTCAAGTAGGTAAAGGACAGTCTGCGAATTTTGTGGGTATTTAAGCTGCGAGCTGTCACTTGTCAAAAGCCTGTCAGCTCTAGGGAAACATACTCTATATTTTTTGAGTAGTCTAAATGGATAAAGTAGTGAACATACATGAAAATGAACTGTTTGAAAAGATTTTGAATTTAATTTAATAATTTAAATATTTCCATAAGGTATATGTAATCATAATATATCAGTAACTTTTTTTATTTCCTATTATTCATTTTTTGGATGTTTCCTTCTCTAATGTACTCTTGTATCTTCACTTATGGACATGTAGGTTGCTTGGTACTCATCTTTCCTTATTGGATGTGGAACTGCCTATTGTCCCAATCAAAAAAAACTAAAATACTATTATGTCTGCCACTATTGTTCTGCGTAAGTATATGTTTTCAAATTTGCTATTGATGATGCCATCAGCAACTTAATATTTTAAATTTATCATGTATTAGACAACCCAGGCTGAAAAAGCATATTTCCATGAAGGGGAGAGATTAATCTTTAGAAAGCTTTTGTAAATTTGAGACACAATCAACTTCTCAGACAGAAGACCAGCTTCTCAGTTTCAAGTATGATATCTGAAGCTTACTCCCTCAAGATTAAAATTATTTGTCTTCCCTCTCAGTTGCTTTCCTGAGGCTCAGGGTTATGTGGAAATATGTTATATGTAGTTATCTAGATTTGATACTATCAGTTTTTATTACATTCACATTCTAGAAAATGAAATCTTGATGGTAAGTCCAAGGGTAAAGGTGAGGTAACAAACAGTACTCAAATGTTTTTTGTACACAAATGTTCTTATGGTTGTTCATCTAAAATACCTGTAGTATACCATGAAGAACTGATTACATCTTGGGCCCCAAAAGGTTTTCAGGAAATCCCTAATATATTTCAAATTATCAAGAAAAGGTAATATCTTAAGTCTTTGTTTTTAGAATTTAACACAAAATCTCTGAAGGAACCATGCAATAAAATCTTGATTTATAGCAGGAAATATACTCCTTCCTCAAGCAATATATTTGACTTACCCCCAAAATTCTATGGATTTGGTGAAGATATATCTATAAGTAGAGGTTACTTTCAATGTTTGAAACTCCTTGCTACTGGAGGGAGAGTTTTCCCCCCAAGCAAGCTTCCTACATGATAAAACTATAGATAAGCCAAGTGAAGTTAGGTTCCAGTTTGAGAAGTATGACCTTCAAAGTCATTTTCCTGAAAGTACCAGTTAGGGTTTAATAGAAAGGATTGAAATGCCCTAAGAGAATACACCCAAGCCCACTGTCTGGATGTGAGAGGGGAGGCAACTAGAACAAGTTATCTGTGGTAAGAGTTGAAATGAATAACAAGAAAAACAAGAGTGAAAGAACTTCTAAAATATTTTTATATATATTTCACAATTTTCCAAAATCTCACACACCTTCATAGCTATATTTTCTGCAAGGAGACTGAGGTTCAGATGCATTGTCCTGGGTCTTTCCAGGGTTTGGACCACTAGGTCCAAATGAAACTTTGACTCTGTTGTATTTTCAGATAATAGTAGCCAATTGGTTAATAATTATCAATGAAGCACAGGCTAGTCATTGTAGGAACACTTTACCCTGAAAGTTAGTGTTAATGAAACCTTTCCTTCTAACATTCCCATTTTTAGTAAACATAAAAACCTCACATACAAAACCTCTAGACATTCAAAATCCTTCCTACCATATCCACCTCCCACAAAATACTTGAAAATGTCACCAGCCTGCATCTAGAGGCCAAAAATTATCTTGAAGCAATACTTTCTCCAGTTCATAGTATAGAACTTATTGATAATTAGGGTTTCCTTTTTAAAATATAAAATTACATACAATATTAAGTATTTCCCATAATGCAACCTCTGTCCCCCAGGAGATTCTAGTATCTCTCACAGGGGTGCCAATCTTTTGGTATCTGTATACTACACTGGAAGAAGAAGAACTGTTTTTGGTCACACAATAAATGCATTGTGACACATAATCACAAAAACATGTATCTCATAATGTTTTAAGTAAATTGATGATTTTGTGTTGGACTGCATTAATAGCCACCCTGGGCCACATGTGGCTTGTGGGCTGTGGGTTGGACATTCCTGCAGGGAATGTGCCTCACCTGTAGTCAGCACCTTGGGGTGCACTGCCTTAGCAATTTGACCAAGTCTACTGATAGATGAAGTGTTGCCACAGTAAAATATACCCTCAAAACTTTAGACCCTATTTACTCCATTTCAGTTGCTCAGATGTGAGATTATGGTCAAGGGAGTGTTCATGTGAATTACTCTCTTACTTTGCACTGCTACCTGAGTACACATTGGGAATATTCATTTTTCAGGGTGGCATGATTAAAACATTGAGTAAATATTCAGAATATGTGATGGATGCTACCCTTGAAGCATAAACTGAACTAAAGAATTTAAAGAAGTGTTTGATGTGTTATATTTCAAATTTCAGTGGTAATATTGTTAGCAGAAAATATACTCCTTACCTCCAAGGAACGCCCTGTGCCAGCTGCCCTAATCACTGTGACAATGGACTATGCAGTAAGTTTGAAGTCACTAATTTACTAGTATAATTAAATGACCTGATTTTTCTTTTTAAAAGTTAAGAAATCTTCTGAATGGAGCCAACTTAAGCAATGCCTTCATGCACAAGACAACAATAAAATTACTCAACAGTGTGTGTTTAAGCAAAAATCTTAAATCATTCAGTACATATATGCATTATTTGCAATGAAAGCCTATTGCCATAGGTAACCTAAAGGAGCATCTACCATCTAGGTGTATCTGTGACTATGTCAAACCCATTTCATATTGGCATATATGAAAATGTTTCTGTGAAAATAATTTATTGTAATTAAATATGATTTTTTATCAAAATTAATGTTATTATAGAAAAGGTTGCATTTTAAAATGACAATAAGTACAAATATAAAGGTGTGAGGCCACACATACGGCTCAGTCTGGACAGGCACACTAAATATAATCCCTTATATGCCAATGAGTTGGTCATAGTACATTCTTCATTTTTCTCATAGTATAGTTAGAATCATCAAGTTTAATTGAATAATCATTTGCACTCTTGTTTGCTATAACTTTTATGGACTTTTAAAATTTCTATCAAATCTGCATAGGGTATTATTGGCTAACAGAAGCTTCAAAGCTGTTTTAACAAAAAGGAGTAAAATTAATGTTATATATCTGCTTTCCAGTGTTGTTATGAATTAATGTACAAAGAGTTGGTATCTTTGTTTAGTTGGGATGTATTATTAGAATTATTATGAACAATACAATTGACCCATTAACTAAAATTTTTACTTCTCAAATGCATTCACCTGACTCAATTGTAGCATTCTGAGTGAAACATATAGCCATAATTCAGAATATTGATGATATAAAAACTATAAATTAACTAACAAGGAAAATACTTACTCCTCTGTGGAGTACTATTTGTTAATTTTGGAATTTTTTCTATTAGTAATAAGTAGCCAGTTGAAAGATTTTAGACAGAAGAGTGATAAGATCAAAAATGTGTTTTATAAAGAGTTCCTGGCAGTATGAAGAAAAAATTGAATAGAAACCAGCTGAGATACACTGTTGAGAAATATGGATTCAGAAACAATGGATGTTCTTACTGTATTAAGGTGAAATGAATGAAGATAAATGGACAGTTTATGAGAGACAGGGAGAAAGTAGAATAGCCAGTGTTTATTGCCTGTGCTTTTTAAGTGCAGATAAAAGGAGAGGGGGGTGAGTTCAGGTTGATTCCTAGTTCTTGGTTTGAATTGTTTAGTAGTGGGGAATGCTATTCCTTTGAGTTTGGGTGAATTGAGCTGGGAGTTGGGGAGAGATAACAGAAATGCCAAGCTTGTAGGCAGGGTGGTTAATCTAGCTTGAGATTTGTTGAGTTTTTGGCCATTGAGCAACATCCAGATGGGAATGTCCAAAAATAATACTAAAACTTCTTTCTGTTTTACATTTTACATTTACTTTTTCTTATAACAATTCCTCACTCCTGAAAGAAAGGCCAATGGCATTAGAATTTGGTGAAAAGACTGCCCAATGTAACTTTCTGCAATGATGGAAATGTTCAATTTCTGCACTGTCCTGTAAAGTAGCCCCTAGCACATTGGCTATTGAACTCTTGAAATGTAACTAATACGTATCACTGAGGACCTGAAATTTCAAAGCTATTGAATTAATTTAAGTTTAAATTTAAAAAAACCACATGGCTAGTGGCTATAATTGTGAATGGTGCAGTTTTAAAGAGATTTATTTATGGTAAATTCATTTTACCCTTTTTTCTGATGGAGGAAAGTTGGTCAATTATTTTAGAAACATTTGGAAAAGCTCAAATTTAGAAAGAAATGATGCCTTAATCAGTGAATTTAACTAAGGACACTTATGTGTCCCTCAAGATATGAAACAACCATCAGAGAGAAATGAATGATGCCAAATTTTTTGCTCTATTCCCTCCTCCTCACTCACATAGGATTTATTGTTTGTGTTATTGCTGTGGAGGATAATGATAATGAAGTTACTAATTTACTGTTTTTATTCCAGCCAATACTTGCAAGTATGAAGATGTTTTTAGTAACTGTAAAAAGTTGAAGAAACAAGTGGGTTGTGACAATGCGCTCACCAAGGGCAGTTGCAAGGCTTCCTGCAATTGTTCAGACAAAATTTATTAAAAATAAATGCCCAATACAGATGGAAAATGGCTAAGTGGAGGAGAGCTACATCTACTTACCCTTGACATTTATTAGCTAGGAAATCATAGACATGTTAGCTATAAATTTGATTCCAAATAGTAATGTCTTTTTTTTCCTGGATCTGTTCTTAACTTTACAGAAATCTCTTTTATCTTCAAAAGTGTTCACATACAGGGTCTTTAATTCCTCATCTGCCATTCACCCTTCTTCTCACTCATCTAGCTTCCACCCTTTTTAACTAAATTAAAATATTTCTTTTTAATGTACCCCCCACCTTCATTTTGCCAAAAAATCACCTTCATTTTGCCAAAATTCTTCATATGCATAAATAAAAGACCACACCTTCCTTTTTACACCTCTCCTCTCTTAGACAAATCTTCCTTAAAGAAGAATTTAATATAATACACATAAATACTCTTTCCTCCAGGAGTTAGAACTTAATCCCCTCCCTTTTGATTCTGGGCTGAACTCAGTGACTCATTTTCAAAGAGTGAAGTATGGAAAGGGAAAAATGTAACTACACAGAGATAGCTGGCAAATACCATCTTAACCAAGTGATTGAAGTTAGCATCACCTATAATAAGTCATGTGGACTCATGTACCCACTCACATGACATGATTAGAAAGGCATTTCACTGCTGGGGTAATCTGTCTAAAAGCTTATAACCCAAGTCTTGTCATGAAATAAAATATTAGGCAAATTTAAATTGAGGTACATTCTACAAAATACCACTGACCCGGATTCCTCTAAACTGTTGAAATCGTGAGTGACAAGGAAATTTGGAGAAACCATTAAAACCAGAAGAGATGAAACAAGCATGAAGACCAAACATAATGTAATATTTTGGATTAGATTCTGGAACAGGAAAATAGTCACGAATGGAAAAACTGCTGAAATCTGAATAGACTTTGTAGTGTTTTTAATAGTAATATTGATTTCTTAGTCTTTATAACTGTACCAGAGTATGTAAGATGCTAACATTATGGGAAACTGAAGTTGGATGTGGAGTATGAGGAAACCATCTGTACTATCTTATCAACATTTCTGTGAGTCAGAAAGATTCCAAAATAAAATATGCATTAAAAACAGAAAATCTATTTTTCTTGGCTCCATGGCACTTCATACTTGTTCTCTAGTTTGTCTGGTTATACTTTTTCAGACTCCCCTGCCCCTCTAAGTTTGAATTCTGCTACTTCACTGCTAAATGTTTGTTTGTGTCTTTTGGAGAACTCTCAGATAATACCAATGATTGAGACTGTCAAATTAAACTCACACACTTATCCAGTGTCAAGCTCAGTAATCATTTCAAGGATATTAGTCACGAGGTAAAGGCAAATGAGGACAGGCCCAAGGCTGCCAATGCAACCCCTAGATGCTGTTTTTTCTTTTTATTCAACACATTTCTTAACCTCTGAAGTGATAGACTTCCTAATTAGTCTAATCTCAAAACCTTCCCACAGACCTCTTAAGTACCGAGGATAATATTTGTACTCAAACTGATAGGCAAGAAGCTAAATCATCTTTTCTATACTTTCCTATCCAATCTCACTTCAATCCACCCTCCCTTACATCTTATGCTCCAAATTCAATGATCTTATTATATTCTCTCAAGAGCCTCAAGATTACTCTCAACTGAGAGCTTTTGTGTTTGCTGTTGGCTCTGTGTAGAAGAGTCATCCCTCTGTTATTTTCTAGACTGGCTCCTTCGCATTAAATGTCATTTCACCCAATGTCCCCCTGTTCCCTCTTACAGCTTCCTATACCTCCTTTCATAATAATCATCACAATGTGTAATAATTTGTTACTGCATTCAACAAATATTTATCTGGAACAATTATGGCTCAGGTATTTAATTAGGTCCTTTGAAAATAGTGATTAATAAGACAGACCAAGCTCCAAACCTCATGGAGTTCAGACTCTAACAGGGCAGAGAGAAAGAAAACTATGTATTTGCATATAAATCCTAATAAAACATAGACAGTGGTAAGTTCTATAAACTAAAATGGGCAAGAGAATAAAGATTGATGGGAATAGACTGAGAGGAAGAAGGGTTAATTTAAATAAGATAGATACTGAACACTCTCTGGGGTGATGACATTGGATTGCAGACACAATGGAAGTAAGAAAACAGTAACAACAAAAGGTCAGGATACTTTTATGCGAAGGGAATAGTGAGTGCAAAATTGCTGAGGTATGAATAAATCTGGTATATTTAAGGGAAGTCAAGAAGCCTAGAATGGATGAGTGCAGTGAGCAAGGTAAAGATAATGTTGAAAAGGAGTCAGAGCACAAATTTAGTCACATGGTGCCCTCTAGGGCAGGTAAAGAATTGTGATACTACTATAAGTAAGCAGTGAGATAAATTGTAAGAGGACAAAATAAAGCAAAAAAGTCTTTAAGAGACTAAAAGACAGATAAAGCTAAATTTCACTAGATTCTAAGTGGGTTTTTATATATATGTACTTATACTCATATGTCTATCATATATATTCCACAATTAATTTCAGGTTATTTTTGTTTATATCATGACAGGAAATGAGACAACTATTTCTATCTCAGGCTAGTATTACCTTATACCAAAGCCAAAGGCATCACAAGAAAAGGAAACTATAGGCTCTTATTTCTCATGAACATAGTTGAAACATATAGAAAGTATTACACATCATGACAAAGTAAGGTGGTCCCAGTATAAAAGGTTGTTTCAACATTCAAAATCAATTAATACCATATTAATAAAATATCATCATACAAGATGCAAAAATGCACTGAACAAAATTCAGCACTTTCATTAAAACAATTTTCAGAAAACTAGAAATAGAAGGTAACTTCATCTTAACAAGGAACATCTAACAAAATCTTCTAGCTAACATTGTACTTAGTGATTGACTGAATGCTTTCTTTTTATATTACTTTAGAGGTAAGTACATGATTCTAGTACTTTTCAACCTGGAATCCGCTATAAGAAATAAAGCAAGGATGCAAATTTGTACCACATGGTTCACATTCTAAGTTTACAGCCAATGCAATAAAATATAGGAAGATAAATTAAAGGTATATAGATTAGAAAGGTAGAAACTCTTTACTTGCAGATTAAAATGACTTTCCTTGTAGAAAATCCAAATGATTCCATAAAAAACAACTACTAGTACTAATAAGCAAGTTCAGCACAGTAACCAGATTACAAGGCAGAATGTGGAGCATCTTACAAATAAAGAACAGGACAAGAATTACAGTGGGCTTCTCATCAGAATCCATGCAGGAATCCAGTTTTTTCAAATCTCAGGCATCTAGACCACTGCTCCTTTCGGATCAGCACCAGGCAACCTTGGATTTTGCATGAGTGTGTAAACACACCTGCACTGTTCCTGTCAGTAATGAAGAGGAAGTTTCCATTTGCTTTCCAGCATGTATAGAATCTAAACCTATAAGCTTTTTTAAATCTAGATTTGCCCTCTGTACCATATTTTTCAACACTTTTTTTTTCTTCACATGCCGCCCTTTTGTCCTACTTCTACTACTCTAAAATTAATATGGGAAATTGTCACCACACTTTTATTTTTCCCAACACCAATATCTGAGCTCCACAAATCACCTTGCACAGTGCTATCAGGTAGCTTTCTTGAAGTAATACTTGATCATGTAATTTCCCAACTCTCTACACATCAGTGAAATTATTACTTTCCCATGTTATACAAGGAAGCAAATCTCCTTAGACTTCTATACAGTTTCCACAACATTTTCTAGAGCCTATCATTCTGATAATATCAACTCACAAAACTCTCAATTGCTGTACATTTTTCCTGTTTTAATTTAGCACTAACCTGCACTACCCAGTAAGTTCATATGTATTTATCAATATCTTTCCCACAGGACTACACATCTTAGAAAAGAGAGATGGCATGTCCTTTTCTCTGCATTACCTAAAAATCTAAGCTAGGTCAATATATATTCACATCACTAATCTTTACAAACTGCCACCTATGTAACTAATATTGTGTTAAGCTTTGGAAATATAGCAATAATCAAGAGAAACATAGTCAATTTATCAAATACAGGTGTGGGCAAAATAGGTTTGCAGTTGTGAGTAAATGAAACATAGTTTATTCTAATATTATTATTTATGAGTTGTTATATTATTTTCCACACTAACAACTTTATACCTACTTTGGCCCACCCCTGTACATGTGCACTGACATTATCTGTCACTACGGTACTCAAGTTGCTCTCATTCTGGCATTTTCCATAGGAACAAGTAATAATCTTGGAGGTATCATGCCTCCAAGAATGGAAAGTAGGATATTCACAGTAAATTACAGAGTACTATAGGATAATAATGGATTGTTTTGCTCTAGAAAAAGAACAACATACCAAACAATTCTTTCTCTAAAAGATGAGCAGCAATTTTATGGCTACAACTATTTGAAATGTTAAATTAATAATCCAAACAAAATATGGTGAGAAACATAAATATAGCAGCAAAAGAGATCCGGGGATGGATTTTATAAGCATTTAGAAATGACAACTCAGGAGTTAACTTTGATTTAATGTAACCATAAGAGTAAAGCAATACAGGATGACTTCTAAATTCCAAGATTTTTTAGTCAATTGTAATTGAACTGAAATGGGAGAGAAGAACTAAAATGATGTCTGTGCATTTGTCACTTGGAATTTTAACATTGCAAAGGGAAAATGGCACTCAGCACCATGCAACTACACAAAGATAGAATTGTGCCTCCATGAGTCTCAAAGGGTTGAAATTTCAAGCCTCTTGGCATTGGGTACACAGAGCTAACGTGTGATGGATGGTAATCCTTGGTTTCACATCTTTTGACCCAACCCATCTTCTAAGTAATAAATTAACTCATTTCCTTAAATCTTGAAAACAGCTGAGCACAGAAGAAAATGCATCTAATTTATCCGCCTTCTTCGAAGAGAGGCAACAGATCTTGCACCAACGCCCTATATAAACCTGCCTAACTTGAAGCCAGTGGCCTTGGATTAGGAATTCTAGACATTTTCTTAAAATGTGTTCATTTCACGCTCCTTGGATTTCCTGACCACAGAACAATTATGGAAATCAAAAAGCAGGACCAAGATAGGAGGTGTTTATGAGCAAGCCTGCAAACGCCAATTTTATCTGTTGGAACCTTGAGTGCATTATTCACACTACCCTGGCATTGCTCTGAAAACCTAAGTATCTATAGAATTTTCCAATCTGCTTTTTAAATCCTGCCCCATGTTAACTCAGAAGACCTTGTTCGTCAAGGGACACCCCCCTTTCAGCCACGCCCCGGGCATTTCAAATCCTGATATATATCCAGCCTTGTACTGTTCAGGTATGTGAACAGACACGTGCCTTCCTCATTAAGTAATGATAATGAGAGAAGAAGGAGAACTCTGCTTTTTACAAGGGACAGTGTGTAGGATTTTCTCCGGTGTAGCCCTCGAGGGAGCTGCGCACGTTGCAGGAAGAACTCAGCGGCTGACATCACACTGAAGGCACAAAGCCCTGTGACGTCATGCACACACGTGGCTGGCTGGGTGTTTTACACGTGCTGTAGGCGGGGCCAGCTGCAGCTTGACTGTGGCTCTGCCCAAGGCAAGAAGATCTGGGCGCTGGAGCCTGGGTAGGAAGTACAGCAGACTGGGAAACTGGAAATGACCAGGGTTGCAGAGGTTGGGTAAAGACAGAGGAGGGAAAGGTCTGTGAGGTTGGTGAGGGGTCTTCTGATCCTTCGTGCTTCTTCTGGCGCTCTGGTGCACATCGTTGTCTGAACTGGTGCATAGGGTGCAATGTTTCCTTGTGTTGATTAGTGAGAATCCAGCAAAGACTTCCAGCATTCTTCTTTACGTCTATCCTATAGAAACTCTTTACCTATCTTAAAAGATAAATCATTCTTTTCACTTGATAAGCTCTGAGTCATAGCAGAAGCCTGGAGTCATTTCTAAATCTGGCCTTTCATAGTGTCAAAGTGAGAACTTTAGATCCTTATGTTTTGAATGCTGTAAATTGTGACTGTTGAATCTTTGGGACTTCATGTCATCTACTCTTTTCCAGGAAAAGACATGAAG